TCCTCTCTCCTGGTATCTTCTCCTTGTCTCCTTTCCTCTGCAGGCATCCACAGGTGAGCTCCTTCGATGTCTTTCAGACTTTCTGTGTCGGCGTTGTGTCAAACTGAAGGAGCTCTCGTCCAATCAGATTGTCCTGTGGTTCAGAAACGTTGACCGAGCGCTTCTGGTTCAAGGCTGGCAGGTCGGTTTCATTTATCATCTAGTCCCCAGACCTCTACATCTAGTCCTCAAACTAGTCCCCAGACTTCCACATCTAGTCCTCAAAACTAGTCGCCAGACCTCTACATCTAGTCCTCAAACTAGTCCCCAGACCTCTACATCTAGTCCTCAAAACTATAGTACCCAGACCTCTACATCTAGTCCTCAAACTAGTCCCCAGACTTCCACATCTAGTCCTCAAACTAGTCCCCAGACTTCAATAACAAACCATACTAGCTCATTTATTTCTGTCTTATTGTGTCCATCCTTGCTAAAATGTGTAATTATGTTTATAAGTATCTTTATTAGTATGTGTACTAGTATATGCTTTAAAAGGTACTCAGAGGCTCTTAACATGGTAAAAACATATCAATAAGAAGAACAAAACAAACGATTACCTTGCGTTGATTATTATAACAATAGATTAAAGATTAAAGCAGATTTAAACAGGATGTGGGGGAGAATGTTTATGTTCAGGAGAGAGTTTCAGAGGGAGGGGCCAGCAATGGAGAAGGCTCCGCCCCCAAAGTTCAATGCTTTGGAAGTAGTACACGTTTATCTGACCTCGGCAGTACTAGTTCTCTCCTCTCTGCAGTACTACTTGTTCTGTCTCTATAGTACTACTCTCTAAGTAGTACTACTCTTCTTGTCCCCCTGTAGGACCAGTGCTTCATCAGTCCTGCCAGTCTGGTCTTTGTGTACCTGCTGTGCAGGGAGGCGGTGGACGAGGACATATCTTCAGAGCAGGAGCTCCACGCTACCTTCCTCACCTGTCTCTACCTGGCCTACTCCTACCTGGGCAACGAGATCTCGTACCCCCTGAAACCTTTCCTAGTGGAGTCCAGCCGTGATGCATTCTGGGAGAGAGCGCTGGAGCTGATCGACTGGCTGAGTGCTGACATGCTGAGAATCAATGCCGACCCACACTTCTTCACCGAGGTGTTTCAGGACCTGAAGAACCAGGGAGGATCTAGGGAGAAGGAGAGGGAGAAGGAAAGGGAGAAGGAAAGGGAGAAGCAGAGGGAGAGGGAGAAGGAGAGGGAGAAGGAGAGGGAGAAGGAAAGGGAGAGGGAGAGGGAGAAGGAGAGGGAGAAGGAAAGGGAGAAGGAGGAGAAGGAAAGGGAGAGAGAGAAGGAAATGGAGAAGGAAAGGGAGAGGGACAGGGAGAAGGAGAAGGAGAAATATAGAGAGAATAAGAAAGTGAAAGAGGGTGAGAAGCAGGAGAAAAAAAGGGAGGATGACAGTCAGAAAATGGAAGAGAAAGAGAAAGACGGAGGAAACAGAATGGATGATCTGGATCGTTAGGAGAGGAGAAGAAGAAGAAGTAAAACACAGTATTTGTTAATGAGACTCGTCCGGCTGTACCTGCAGCTTTAACACTATCACCATGGTGACTGAACAGAAGTCTGAAGAGTGGCATGCTGTCAATCAAACCCAACTGTCAATCAAACCCAACTGTATCTTGTGATTGTGCCGTTGTGGATGTAGATGAGTTTCCATGGCGACTTAACATATAATCTCGAGCCTTAATTTGTTTAGTTGCAGAAAGTTTAATAATATTCAAAAATATTCAAGTATTAAGTACTAGTGTAAACAAATCTATCTGTAGTGTCGGTGCTACAGGATGGTATTATATACACATATATACAGTTGTGTGAAAAAGTGTTTGCCGCCTTCCTGATTTCTTATTTTTTTGCATGTTTGTCACACTTAAATGTTTCAGATCATCAAACAAAT